TGTCACGCTGATCCCGGTGCCGGGAGGCCTCACGGCTCTGCTGATCCCGGTGCTGTAAGGCATATTACCCTTTTACTATATAGAATAGAGGCCTGGTGCATGGGTGGGGCTGGCTGGTTTGCCCTGAAGGGTGTCCTGGATCAGGGGGGGGGTCCCCACTGGGGTGCCTGGCCAGTCTGGGGGAGGGGCTGAGGGCTGTTTACAGGCTGGGGGGGACTGAAGCTTCCAACCGCTCCTTTTTTCCTTTTTTTTTTTTTTTATTCTGGGCCAACTTTAGCTTGAGGCTGGGCTCCAGCTCTTAGGCCTCCTTGGCTGAAAGTAGGTTTCTGGCCTTTGCATACAATATTGCGAATCTGCTGGCTAAAGTCCGGCCGTATTTGTTAAAATGTTTCAAACTGCAGGCTCAGAGGCCTACAGCCGCAGGCGGGGAACGTTGGCGTTCTCCGTCACTGAGGCAAGCAAGCCTCATGTTAGTTTCAAGCTGCCTGGCTGCCGGCCGCCATCTTGGCTGACAGTTAATTTGCATATCTCGCTGATTAGCCAATGAAAAGGGGAGCGGTCGTACGCCAATTTCCATGTTTCTTTTATTAGTGTAGACTAGAGGCCTGGTGCACGAATTCATGCACGGTTGGGGTCCAGCTGGCCTGCCCCAATGGGGGCCAAATGGACTGGGCCAGCAGGGGGTAGGGGTCATGGGGGGGGCACCCCTCAGGGGATGTCCGACTGCCGATTTGTTCCCAGGATCGGGCCTAAATTGGCAGTTGGACAACCCTCTCACAATCCTGGACTGCTGGCTCCTAATCGCTCCCTAACTGCCCCCTGCTGCCAGCCAGGTTACCCCCAATTGCCCCCCCCTGCAAACCTGGTCACCCCCAACTTCCCCCCTGCCATCCTGGTCGCCCCTCAAGGCCCCCCCTCCCCAACCTGGTCGACCCACACAGCCTGCTTGTTCAGTCATTTGGTGGTTCCTCACTAACTCCCCTACTGGCCTGGTCGCCCCACGCAGCCTGCTTGTTCAGTCGTTTGGTCGTTCCTCACTAACCCCGCTGCCAGCCTGGTTGTAGGCAGCCATCTTGTGAGGGCATGAGGGTTAATTTGCATATTAACACTTTCTTATATAGGACTAGAGACCTGGTGCACAAAAGTCGTGCACAGGCAGAGTCCCCCTAGGCGTGGCTGGCAATCAGGGCCAATCTGTGGGGCAACTGGCGGGGTGATTGGGGGGCACCTGCTGGCACCTGCCTTGGCCAGCTGGCACCACTCACTCACTGGCCCTGACCCCCACTGCCTACCTCTGTGTGAGGCGACCAACAGGGCAATCGGGGAGCTCCTGCTGGCACCCATCTTAGCTGGCCTGGGGCCTTCAGGCTGGGGGCAGTTCCTACATTGAGCATCTGCCCCCTGGTGGTCAGTGCGCATCATAGCGACTGGTCATTCCACCAGTTGTTCCGCTGTTCAGTTGATTTGCATACAGTGGGTCCTCGGGTTACATCGGAGATTCGTTCCTATGGTGCGACATAACACAATTTTTGCCATAAGTCAGAACCCACCTGCATAAGCACCTACGTCACTCACATGGAGCACATACACAGCAGTAATGAAGTGAAACAGTAAAAAAAATTAAAAGAAAGATAGCTCCTGACCTTTTCTTGTGGTAAATAAATAAAAAAAACATAAAGCACATGTACATATGTCAAAATGACAGAACTTTTTTTTTTATAAATAAATGGGAGATGGTGATATAACCACGAAATGATGTATATCAAGTCTGACGTAACCCAAGGACTGTCTATATTAGGCTCTTATTATATAAGATACACACACACACACACACACACACACACACACACTCCCCAAATACCCACATTTTCTTTTCTGAGCCCATTCCTAAACCCATTGTGATAGTTCAATTATAAATATTTCAGTATATACTGCTAACGAATAAGAGTATTCTCAATATAACCATCATACCATTATCAAACCAAAGAAACCATGCAATTGAATAGTCTCTTACGTGGATGTGCGTAAGCAGACTCAAAACAAGCAATGAAGTCATCTGACTTTTGTTCTTTATCTTGGCTTATCTAATGGACCTGAAATGGTTCTTTAGTGAATTATTTAGAAGTGACACTCAATCTGTCAAAGAACATTTCCTTCCTCAATAACCTTGAAAACAGATTTCATTTACTGCTTCATCAGACAGGTATATTTAAATCCAACTCCTCAAAATTAAGCAACAATCTCCTAAGATAGTCAAACCTCAAAAAAATCAAGTACACTGAATTTCCAGTTGTTTTCTAATGCGCCACAAAGTCTTAAAGTAAAGCCAACCAACTTAACTTTCAAAACTATACACTCCTTGGTAATGTTCCATAGGAGAAGTTTATATTGTACTAAACAATAATTTCACTATACTAGTTTTATAGGGGAATAAACTGTTGTTCTTAAGAAAAACATACAGTACAAACAGCATTGATAAGCCTAAACCTGTTTATAAATGGGGGAAAAAAACCTGTTAATATAGTTGTGAATTTAGATTTTTTGTTGTTGTTGTTGTTGTTATATCTTTTTTTTTTCTCTTTTTTTTTATTTTTTTTTAATTTTATTATTTATTACAAAGGATGTTACATATGTGTCCATTTTTT